GTTCAATAATTGAATCAAGATTATTAACATAGGTTGTCAGAGATTGAGCATGAACTGCTAAAATATTCATAGAAGCAAGCCGTACAATAATATTAAGAAATCGTTTCACAGCGTCATCATGACCATATTAGTAGAGAAGGTATTTCTATGTTACTTCTGCATACTTGTTTTTGAATCTTTAAAATATTCATAGGATTTGTTACGTTGTTGGAAGCATTTGAATAATAACAGCAAGTATTTTCAGAAAAAGCAAACAATGATATTGATAACTTGAGCAATATAATATTTGGATCAATGCATTTCTTTGTTCGACAAGTAAGATCTAGTGTACATCTTTCATACTTTATATTCATCGTTTTCAAGTAAATATTGAGACTATATAAATTACAATGTTGCATAACGAATACGCTACTCATGCAGGATACATTGTCAGAAACACTACGAAGAATTATGGAGCGATCATTTGATGATAAATGACGAAGATCATTATTCGAACGAAGATATGCCGCCGGTATTTTATCAATAGATACTAGGAATTCTTCTACAAGTGCTGCACATATCAGATAACTGAGTTGTAAAGTACATTTGAGAAAAGTGTCCATTGACTAGTAGTTAATAATAATACATAAATAACACAAAACAAATTTTTATACTACTAGTAACGAGTAAAGGAATCGAGACTTGATTTTACTTTTTTTGTCGATTTTCTAGAATGGTTGGATAGAGTTCCTCGAGTTTGCTATAGTGGTGTCGTTTTTAACATTTTCACATCGCTTGTTATGTAAAAAGTTTCAGAAATATTATTACATTGAAAATAGTCTAACAGTAATATTACTGTTTGAAATACGGATAGAGTACTATCATAGTCTTATATTTAGGAGTGTTTTTGTCTTTTCGAAATATTTTATTCGCAACGTTCGAGAGGAATTCCTGTATAGAAAACAATTTAAAACGAACGAAGAAAAAAAAAATGGCTGAACAATCAATCTTATCATAAGCAGAACTACAGACAGGTTTTGTAGGACTTAAAGAGAGCGTCTTCTAAAGACGTCAACTCTTCATAGACACGTATTTATAAGGTTTGTTTTTCATAGTTATAACCTTCATATGTAGGAAACGACCTAAAAATGGAAATATGAATCTTTTCATGTACCAACAATTCAAAATTGAAGAAAATTTTTTTCTGGTATTTTTTTATCATTGTTTGATAGAACTCGTTATGTTACATGTAGAATACCTGTTTATGATATATTCAAACAATATTTTTATGGTGAGACTACGAAATATCAGATTTGAAAAACACTCAGAAAAACCTATAAAGATCGAAATACATCAAATGCATCAAGTCTCAATACCTTGATTATTTATGCGAATTTTTTTTTCATTTTAATCATCATATAGTTGTAAAAACATCTATGCATTCTATGTAGCAAAAAAGTTATAGAAATTAGATTCATATTCTGAGCATTTCACGATAAGAATTTCAGTTTTGGAAGAAACAAATATCATATTCAGAGTTCGAATAAAAATCTATATCAAACATCGTTTGAATATATCAAAAACAGCGTTTCTATACACAACCCAACAAGTTCTATCCAACCATAATAAAAAAAAAAGTTCTGCTCAAATTTCGACTTGCCGATACCGTAAAAAATTCATATTTTCATTTTTAGATCTAGTAGAGCACTTTTGAAAAAAGTTTTATTTGTCAACAAAGAAAGAACATAGTCCTAAATCTATACATTTTGTTTTTGACAGATATATACTGGTTCTAAATAACTAAAAAAATTATCGTTTAAATATATGACTATGAGAACGTTGATGCTTTAGCAAAAACAAGTACTTGTTGAAATCGATGAGACCTCTCTATAGTTCTACTCATCACAGTGTTAATTGTTCAGCCATTTTATCTTCTTCTTTAGTTTTAAATTTTTTTGTTTGTTTGCAATAATCCTTCTCGAACGTTTCGAATAAAATACTTCGAGAAGACAAAAACATTGCTAGATGTAAGAATATCACAGTATTCTAAATATTAATATTAATGTTAAGCTATAGTGAGTGTAATTGTCTTTCTGAAATCTTTCATATAAAAATCGGTATGAAATCATTAAAATCAACATTGTTGTAGGTTACTCGACGAGCTCTAACCAACCATGCTAAAAAATTGGTTCAAAGTTCGATTTGCTGGTATCTTACAACAATTACTACTAACACATTTTATCGCCTATCCGATTGGCATTGAAGAAATGAAAATAAATTTCTGCTTTAGTAATATTATTTCTATCAATTTGATTTAATAATCTTGCCCTCTCTGGTTGTTATTATACTTGTATTTTAACTAACGTTTTTGATTTTGGTTTAGTCTGTCTTGATTCTTGAAGTTTGTCAGTGGTTACTCCACATTTAAAACATTTAGCAAGTCGATATGATATACACATATGACAATTATTTACATTTATTTCATATTTGATCATCAAAATTACATACGAATACTGTCGAAATGGATTAATATGAAAATTAAATGAGAAGAGAGAAGATCAATCTGATTTGTTCAACACTAGCACTTTGTTTAAAGAACATTTTGCATGGAATACATGAAATAACACCAAAATAAGCATATTCAGCAAGAACACCACATATTCGACATTCATTGGAGAGTATTTTGAATATTTTAGTTTTGATCGACATAGATGGATTATTTCTATTATTCAACGTTAACCTTCTAAAAAAAAAAATTCATCTTAAATTATACTTAACTTATGAAAAAAATGATTAATAATGCAAACAGGAAAAAAAACATGCCCGGATCTATATATAAAGAAAAGGTTATTTTTCATTACAGTGCATTTTTTTTCTTCTGTGTAGAACGAAAAATGTCACTTTGACTCTAACCACTATAATATATGCGTTTCTAGACAAGTTGACGTTATTCTTCATAAAAAAGAAGAAAATAAGGTCTGTTGTTTTAATTCTCTTACCTGTTGTTATCCGCCTCGTGTTCTATTTATGTAGAGGTTTATCATGCATAGTTATAAAATAAGTATACAATTACTATCAAAATCATAATTTTCATCAAGGATCATAGACATATTGAAAAAATAAAACATAATAAAGAAAAAAAATAGTTATGATGTTTAAAACATTTCTATCGATTCTCGCTTATTTGTTTTTTTTTGAATTAATCAAATTATCACGTGTATTTATGATGGACTGTAGTTGAAGATACTGACAGTTAAATGTAAAAATTGTCGCTCTCCAGCTAAATATTCATATTTTTGATAGTATTTCATGTCATCGATGAATAATATTTCATACAACAAAATACTGAACTAGGACAGTTGAATGAATAATATATATTTACTTATATGATCTTTAGATTTTTTTTCTGTCTCAGAAAATGTTGAAATTTGATTTGGATCTATTACAAACTAGATCAACAGTTTTAGTCAGATTCAATGAATCTGATCAAGTGAGACTATTTGATTATCATATTTAAGTAAATCATAACTTAGGTTGAGTGAAGTTTTAAAAATAGATAAATTATTTTTCTTAACTATTAAAAATCTTGTACAAAACAAAATCAAATACAAGCAACACGCATCGTTCGGATTCGCTAACTCATTTATGAAAGAGTGGCATTGTATTGTGAATTAGAAACAACTCATCATGATCTCATAGGATTTTGGTCCTGAAATGTTTAGAGGCTTGAAAAAACATAAAAAATGAATGCTGATAAGGCCATTTTTCATCCAGAACTTTGTACTCACCGCTTCAGGTATTGGTCGCAAAACCTTTTATCTCTGTCTAACGCAGAAGCAGGATTGCCATCTCATGAAGCTTAAGCAGCGGAAAGTTCGTCTAAAAAACACGGAAAATAGGCGGAAATTTGTATATGGGGTGTAGGTGTGGATAGGATGTTCCTGAAGAAAAGATCTACATCCACATCCTTCTCGTATCAACCTTGATGCAATTAAATCGTTTCTTTGTTTTTTTTTTGTTCGGTAGTCTCTGAAAAACTGAAGAGATTAATATTGGAGTTTTTCGATATTTCAATTTGGAGCCTTTTTAATATGTGTCACCTTTTCATAAGTACCAAAAATCGATGCAGCAAAATTTTCGAAAATAATTCTTTCTACTTATAAGCAGCCTGCACAGGAAGCTAAGATTGATTCCTGAGATGGGAAAACCTTTAATTAAGCTTATATCAGATAAGCAGGAAAGTTAACGTTTTATCTTGAAGAACTGTTTTACGTTCACACATTAGATCTTCTCGAGAGAAGTGTTTAGTTCTCCCAAAGATATACACAATTCTATATCTTTTAAACAAATCATTTTACCATCAAATCTAGATCTTAACAATTTATTAATTCAGAATTTTTTAGTAATGAAAATTGATATATTCGATATTTGTGTTGAAGTAATTTAGATTTTTCGATTTTGATAGATGTTAATAGGTCTCATACACTACAGTATGTCGATATTCCTTCGAGAAATAAATGATGTTCGATCGACTAAGAGCAATTTTTTTTTCATCGTATAAAGAAGCAATTACGAAGCTACGTTTCTCTTTCTTGTTTTTTTGCTTCTGTGCATAATAAATATAGTCCTTTCTCTCTCTTACTATATATAACGCGCGTACTTATCGACACAACTACGTTCTTCGTCATAGAAAGACAGAGAATAAGACTGTTTCTTTTTTCTTCTCGTTTGTCTACTATCTCATCTATGTTTAATGTTTATTTAGTTTAATCATAAAGTTAAGTATAGAACTGCTACTAGAATCGTAATTTTCACTAAAGATGATACACATATTGTAAATAATGTATGATTAAGAGAAATTAATCGTCATTTTTATAATATTTTCTATTATTCCTTGTATTTTTAATTGCTAGTTGATAAAAACTCAAAGTCTTCTTTTGATAATTTCTATTGAAAGTTATAATTGTAATATTGTTCATTTATTTTTTTAGATTTAATCAAATAAAAAACATGTGTTAATCATGAAAAAATCATGTTCGAACATATCTACAAGTACAAAACGAAAGTCAAAACTAGTTACAACCGAATGTAAAATTTGTGAAGGTTCAGCTATATATTCGCATTATGGTGTTATATCATGTCGTCCATGTAGAATGTTTTTCAAACGAAATGCTCAACAAGGAAAGGTTAATTGAAAAATATTCATTTTATTTAAATAATATTGAATTTTTTAAGAAAGTATTAAAATGTGATTTTCATGGTAATTGTAAAATAAATGTAAATAATCGTCATATATGTTCTTATTGTCGACTTCTTAAATGTTTTACAAATGGAATGAAAACTGAAATGATTCGATCATATCAAACAAAAATGTACAAAACAAATAAAAATATTAAAAAAATAGTAAATCAACTAGAAACATCATCAACAAATTTAGTTACATTAAATCAATTTGAACAGGTCACATTATTTGATTATCATATTTAATTATGACATGCTTGTTAGTATGATGAAATTCTTTATTATTCTTTTCAACCGTTAATCGCCTTGTAGAAAATTAAAAAAAGAAAAAAGGAAAACTCTATAAAGAATATTTGGAGAATGGAAGCAGATAGAGATCTGTAATTTTCACCATTGAAAAGAGTGATGTTGAAGGCATCGAGCTGTATAAGGTTTTTTTTAGATTCGGAGAGTTCTTTCATAGGTGCTTTTTGACTGACATTGTTTTTCATCACTTTTCAGAAGAATTTCAACTTAAATTATATAGAAGTGTAGCTGCAATCACCTTGTGTTCGCATTGAAATTTTCACAATGTTTTATTATCTTGTCAACTTTTTTCTTCAATGAAGTTTTTTAAAAAGAACGTGCTAATTCAAATGAGAAGGGGGCTAGATGGGCTCTCCCAGTAAAACTGGACTTTATCTAGTGCCTCTAATTTAAATGAGAAAAATCTGAAAATTTTACTATATATATTACTCGTTGAGTTAATCATTTTTAATAATGGATCTTTTTTCTTCCATGTTCTGTTTTTGATTGGGAAAAGCAACCTCGAAATTTTGAAAAAAGCGCATTGTTATAATTGTAAAACGATGTTGACTTTTCGAATGCATATCCTTCTTGAATTGACATTGAAAATACTGAAATCGTAAAGATTCAAAACGATACTCCTTACAAAATGCTAATCAATATCGAGTAAAACAAAATTGAATTTGTGAGTGTGGTAAGCAAAAAAAGAATAGCAATCGAATATATTTTGTACATGCCGTTTTTCGGATGTGATGCATCAAAATAACTCAAAAACATCGACAAAATTTCACTCATAAAATGCAATTCTATTAATATAACTCATTGTACATAATAGAACAACCAAGAACTGTAATAACTCGGCACGTGTTCTACATTCGAAAGAACAACGTTTTCAAGTAATATCGACTAAAGAACGAGATAGGAAAAGGAAAAAAGCAGTATGTGTTCTTGCATCATCAACCAGTAATAATGTACAAGTTACCACACATGATATTTTTCGTCATACAATGTTCTTTTGTAAAACAGATCAACTGTCTGTTGAATTATTTCACGATATTTTTGATTATCTTTCAATACATGATATTTACTATGCATTTTCTAACCTAAATGATCATTTTGATTCTGTATTAGTTGGCTATCGTCACTACTCACTCAACTTTCTTTTTGTGACTAAATCTAAATTTGATGTCACTTGCCATGATATACGACCACATCAAGTCATCTCTCTTACACTATCAGATGGTGATAATATATCCAATCAATGCGAACTTTTTTTTCTTGTTGCAATATTGAACAATTCATTCATCTTCAATCATTCAAAATTTACATGATTAGTGATAATACGTGCAAAAAATTATCTCATTTACGTGAACTCAAGTATTTGACATCATTGGAGATACATAACTTTTCTCTGACGTGTTTTATATATTTGTGTGATCTTATGAAAAACTTCTTCGACTGAATCGGGTAGTAGTGCCCATTCCTGAACTTCTCTGTAGGATTTCATTGCCTCAACTATACCATTTGACTATTCGACAGTGCGGTTGTTGGATATTATCGATTATATTAAAACTAATTCCTAATCTTTATTCACTTGATATTATACTTTCATGTGATAGTGGTCCACAGTAGTTGGGTACAATATCATTATTATCTCATCTAAGACGACTCATACTCGACATTCGTGGTGAGTATATTAATTTGAAAATTGTATATACACGGTGTTACATAGCTATTACACCCCTCTCCATAGCAACTTCATTTGTAAATGATATTACAAAGTATTATATACCAAAAAAGAGCTCATTAAAAACTTGATCTATGGGTATATTAAATGGACTGTACAGCAATTGTTGACTATTAGAATTATTGAAATATCTTGTACTGAATGCCAAAATGAGGCCGTATTTGACGAGTTTCATTCGTCATGTACATGTTTTCTTAAAAATAATTGTAGATTCGTGATTTCCATCAAAAACTGGATCTAGCGACATGTCATTTGTATATTTTAAATGAAAAAAACAATTTTTTGGGTGTGGGTGTGTGCGGGTGGCTGTCGGTGTCTCAATAAGAAAAACTTCATCATTATCGACGCCCGCATCCATACCCACATCCACATCCATGATCGTTCTCTATGAAACTATGATGATGAGTTCTTAAAACATAGTAAAGACCATTGAAATGACTGGTTGTTGATTCTATTGACCGAATAATGTCATTGACTTGGATTCTAGTCAAGCGTCGAGGAAATTCGCAGGGGGAAAGATTGCGATTATTTCAGTTATGTTCAGTCATATTTCTTCTTTCGTCTAAGATTTAAAACAGGTTTCACAAGTTTGTCAAGCATCCATCGACAGAGCTACGGTATGGTGATAATTGACATATAGTTTTTTCTGCAGTAACTAATTCTTCTCATCAAATCGACACTTCTGCAATGTAATTAAATAGAGTTACACTCATTGAAATTTAATAGAGTTCTCTGAAAGAGTGAAAAATAAATGGATTCCATCGTTTTGCCTATATCTCTGCCATATTTTGCTCATATCATTCGAAAGAGTACATAAAAATGAACAAAAATGCTGTTCTTGACTTCTGCAAAAGATTGAGTCTTGGTGTCGAAAAACAAAAATACTTTCTTCGACTGTAAATCGTTTGTCAGCATAATAACTAATCGAAAAACAACTTTAATCAAATGCTTCTTGTAGAGAATTTCACGCTCCAAAAAGTTACTATAAAGAATACGAGAAATAAGTTTTACACAAGGACGAAAAAGACGATAGAACGTTATTTTCTGTCAAGTTTCTGCATTATTAAACAGAACATCTAATGAAAACAGAATCCAAAAAATATCTAACGAAATGAACATGAGAAAATAAACAGAGATACTGAGCTATTTTGTCTTTACAGACGATTATCTTTAAATGTTGTCGAAAAATATGCACATTGTGCTAAATCAATGCATATTTATGTTTTTTTTGAATACACATATGGAAAGCTTTTTTCATGCGGATTCTAAGGAAATATTTCTAATTTCTTTGACATATGTTATAGTTGATTAAAAATAGTGAGAGATTATTTTGGAAAACTTTGCATCATATGTTAAATCAATTGCGTATTTTCAATCATAAATTTCAACAATTTGTATACAAAAATTGTTCACAAAGAAAAAAAAAATAAATAATTGTCTTTAATATTAAGCATCAGATAAAAGCCATTCTTGATCATAATTCTATCAAATAAAATAAATAACTAGAATAATATATCATACAAATCTTACTGGTCCATGATGAATCATATCATGTATTTGTTCTTGTAAATCATGAAGTCTTTAAAAAAACAAAGTTTATTTTTCATAAACCAAAAAAAAATAAGAAATATGAATCATACTTTCGCTCAATATTTTGTACTGCAACTTCAATTTGATCTTTCTTTCCATGTTTCACTACATAACTCCAATAATCATCAGCTATGGCACTCTCACGTTGCATTGCATCACTAACTATCATTAACAGAAACAAAAAAGAAAATTGTTTTTTATTTATTTCAATTATATGAAATATATTCTTGCTTTTAAATTCTTCGTGAACTTTTCTTTCACTTGAAGCAATTGAATCGATGGAAATTTCGCAGGCAACTATAAAATCAAGAAAAGGAAAAAAAAACGCTGATGAACAAATTATATAAAAACAGAAATATTAGTACAATTCATATATGATTAATATATGAAATACGATTAGGAATGCACTGAGATCGACAGTCTCAGTATATCCCTAAACACTATGTATCCGTTATTAGTAATCCTCAAGAACATTGCTTTATTCTATTTGTTTTACAGTGCATTACAAAACCATCCTGTTACTTATCCATACAAAGTTGAAGTTAGAAACTAATATTTATTTTCAATTAAAAGAAAGGTAAATATTTTTGGAATGATTTTTGATAAGAACTAGATAGAGATCTGTGGTTTTCATCGTTTCAAAGAAAGAATGTAACTTTATCTAATCTTAAATCCTAGATTTTTCGAGAAATTTTGTTCTGTATCATCTGGCAAGTTTTTTTAAAAAATCGAAACTTTTTAATAGGTTTCGAATGTTGGTTTATTATCAAAAAATCAAAAAAAGTCAGTATTTTATGAAAAATCTGTCAAAAACACGTAGTAAGAGATCAATAACTTGTGATTTTCTAAACATTTCAATATAGGACTCACATAGATTATTGAACTTTAGTTAACGATTCTGATGCACTACTAAAAATTAAAATTCCAAAACTTTTATATTACATAAAGCTTTCTTTTTTTTTTCGAAATAATCCTATATGGTTCAACACTCCTTTTAGATCGTGTTTTACAAAATACCGTGTCGATGATTTTGGCGATAATATTGAATTTTTTCGATTATATAACAAATGATTCTATATAGATAATAAATAGTATTAAATGGTGGTGGTAATGGAGGTTTATTATTATATTCATAAACAAGTAAAAAACGTTGATAACGCCATATTCGATGAGATTGCATTTGAACATTTTGAATTGTAACACTGACAAAAAAAAACAAAACAAAATAAATTTATATATTTAATAATAATTTTTTTCGTCTTACTTAAATAAAGCAATAAGTACATTAAGGAGAAGTACATTAGAAATAGCAACAAATACTATTGTTAATATAAAAGCTACAATAGAATATGCATCTGTTCCATCTAAAGAAAATGAAACAGTCTCTATTATAATTAAATATTTATTCATTTTAATTATATTTGCCAATTGAATCTACTTGTCCAAAAATTTTCCAAACACCAAAATTTGTAACATCACGTAATATTTGCCATGTCCATAAACCACTTCCACCACTCGATACAGACCCATTAAATAATGATCCATCATTATTATAATTCCAAGAAACTTGATTGTCTGTAGTTATTAATGACCATGATGATATTGAATATCCAAGAAAAAATATAAGAATAAAACAAACAAAAAATAGAAAATCTTTCATCTATTAATAAAAAAAAAAAAACAAAAATGTAATCAAAAGATTAATTACATCATCAGATATTAACCGTATTAAAAATCATAATCAATTTTGGTCCTAATTTTTCAAAAGCAGCAAATAATTCTAATGTACGAACATACCAAAGTATCAAATCAAGACATAAGAATATTCTGAAGAAAACAAAAAACATAAATCCAAAAAATTAAAATACTACAACTTACTTTGATACAACAAAAAGTGGTTCGAGAACAATAAATCGTGTAATAAAACTAATAAGATATAAAATAGTTGCAATCATATCAATCATATTCCATATTCCTGATATATATTCTCTTTTTGAATTCACAAATAAAAACTAATAGTAAGATTATTTTTTATTTTTTATTTTTAAATAAAATCTAAATTAATTATTACTTGACGTATCTCTTCAATAATAAAACTCCAAAAACAAATATGAAGAATTATTTCAGTTATCGGTATTCGTAAATATTGAATACCAGATCGATGTTCGTTATAAATATTTAATGGAAAATAATCAACAAGAAGAACAAAACTGAATAAACCCAAAAATAGAATAAAAAATATCTAATCAAAAAAGAAAATCAAATCAAAAAGAATAACTTTAAATAATACAAATCATTTTTACCATATAATAATAAAATCGTACAATAGGTGCTTCATAGAAATATCGTATTTTGTCAGACCATGGAACATGATTCTTTCCTTTATGTTGAACAGATCTGATAAAATAGGAATTCAAAAATTTTTTTTTTTAAATAAAATAATCATATAATTCTCGTACTCAATAACATTATGTATCATAGTCGATTGTCTGACTTTTGATTGATCTCGAGTACTTCGAATAATCTTGAAAATTTATTTAATATATTCATAAGTTGTTGTTTTTTTTCAAAAAATTTTCACTAACTTGTTCATGTTTTTGTATGTAAGGTAAAAAGATACAAAATATTGGAAGTAAAGGAAAAAATAATGAACAAAGAAAAACCTTAAAAATAGAAAAAAAAAAATATATTTTATACTTTATTTTATTTTTCGATATTTACTCGAAAATTAATAGCCGTTCTTTTATAATTGATATATCCAAACCTATAAATTTGAAGTTTTTTTTGTTTATTCTTTCTTTTTTGACATAAAAATTAAAATCTTACCATTGATGATCAAGATATTTTTGAACACATTTTGATGCAAGAAATGATTTACAATTGACTTTTCGTGCTAATTGTAATGGATGAACATTATTAAATGCAACAGCAGGACGTTTTAGAAGATCAACAGCAAAATGTTCATCATTATCAAAACATCGATCAATAATTGACATAGCATGTGTATCGAATTGACTAGAAAATAAATAAATAAATTATTATAAACAATTAAAAATATTCGAATTACTCAGCATTTTCTTCATATTGTTGTTTTATATCGACATCAAGTTCTAATCTTGCTGCACGTCGATAAATTAATGAACCAAATAATGGTGCTATTGATGAATTCTAATAAGAAAATTTCATCATATAATGGAACCTATTTTATTAATAATCAATCAAATTGATCATATGTAGATCAAATGATCACTCTCCTTCCTTACATAACGGATTTAATAATATAAACTGGTAATAGCGAGATTCAAACTAGACATTCCAAGTTTTGTTATGAAAATACTTCAGTATTGAATAGCTCGTATTTTTAAATTCGTTAGTTTGGTGGTTAGAATGATCATTTAACTTGAATGTGATTAGTCTATCTGATTTTTTTAGTACAATAGTTTCCATATTAAGTTTATTTAATCATTTAAAACTTACCCACGTTTTCGAACAAAGATATGTTGCAAGCTCAAATCGATCAAGGAAAATAGCCCATAAAAATAAATCCTGTGGAGCGCCTTTACCTAATGGCATATTATCATCTAATAGTGAAAATTTATTGTTCACGTTTGTATTATACTATAAAGATATTTCTTAGAAAATAATCAATAAATCAATATCTTTCCATACTAAGATCACATGAAAATAATCTGAATAAAAATCCTCTCTTGTCCATATGACATGTTTTCCTTTGCCTTTAAGTGGTAATCGATTACTAGTCTAAAAAGAAAAAAAATTGTAAAGTTTATTTTTTTTTTTGAAAATCAATATACCAATGTTGTTGCATAAAGGTGTTTAAGATCTCCATTTGTCAATTTTTCAAGTGATGTACCAAATTCAATAAGTAATTCAACAAAATCAACATAACCACGATGAAGTGCATCGACAAGAGCACGACGAAGATCATCTTCCTTTTATTTATTAAAACAAAACGAAAAAAATAAGTAGCTAAAAACAAACAAATGACATACTTTCCATTTAGATATCGTCGTATCAGTAAGAAGATATTTTTGAGCATAATTAATTTTATGCCAAGCCTACATGAATATTAAACAGAAGATTTTTTTCTTTTGTTTTTCTTGTTTGTCTTTTCAAATTACTATAGCTAATCTAAGTTCTGCTGTTCGACGATTTTGTTCATTATGATCATCGGAAAATTTTGCAGCTATAAAAAAAACAAACAAACAACTTGTCTTTTTGTAATAAAGCTTATCAATGAGGAATATTTACCATTAAATAACGATTCTAGAATAGCATCTTCAAGATTTCCACGATGTCGTTTACTATCAAATTTAAATATTGTCACTAATTGTTTATGCTGGTTTAATACTCGACATAGATTACTTTTAACTTCATCCAATCCTGTAATATCAGCTTGTGCTTTAGCCAAACTTTATGAATCAATAGTGATAATTATTATCTAACAATTCTTTTGAAAGTAAAACTTACATTGCATTGATCTCTGCTTCTTTTGAACCACCTTTAACTGAACCAGTTTGTGGTCGTGTAGGATAACCATTACCATTGCTATTTTCGCTTTCAGTATAACAGGCATGCAATTCAGCAACAAGATCAGCAGCACGACCTGATTCCTTTAAAAACTAATCAGAGTTTATTTATATTATTCAAATTTTTCTATACTTTGATAACAACAACTGGCGTATTCGAATCAAGTGCCTCACAAATTGTTCGAATCGATGATGGACCACCTTCAACCAAAACCATAACAATAGGTATAAGTGATTCAACGGCTCCTTCTGTAGTAGTTTCTATGCTTGTATTTCGAGAATATTTTTCGATTTCTGCGCGTAATGGTAGAACAGTATCAGCATTTGGTTGTCCATCATCAAATAACAAAAAATGAGTATGATTTGGTTCTAAATCACATCGTTTCTTTGGCTTTTCTTTAACAGTATAATTTCGAACCAAATATTGATCATCACTATCCTTAAATTTTAATTTAAAAGAAAATCATTTCTCTATTCAAACAACTTGTTCTACTAACCATACGAAGAGAATGTGTTATTTGATTATGATGATGTTTCATGAATGGATATATTCCTTTTGTAATATTTGTATCTGTAGAAATATTCGTAGACTGACAATCAAGTTGTTCATTTCCTGCAGTATAACCCCAACTAGCAATACCAATACATGGTACATCAAGACCATTTTTTCGATTTGTATAACGATATTTATTAAAAGCTTCACCAACTTCTTTAACAACGCCAGCATTTGTTCCCGCTGTAATCAACCATGCATCTATTCAAACAAAATGTATTATTGATTATCTATAGTGAACTTAAACTGTATTACTTGTCGTTATAGCAGCAGCAACTAAACCACTTTGAAAAATTTTTCTCAGACGTGTTGACATATCAAAACTTTTTGCTCCACCAGTTACAGATATAATTAAATCAGGTTTTGGTAAACGCCAACCTTGTTGCATAAATTTAACAACTGTTTCAGCATTTGTAGTAAGACTTAATCTTATATATTGTGAAAGACGTGTAGCAGTATCAAGTTTATTTTCATCAAATTTAATAAAACCATATTGTTTAGTTA